TTTGCGTAGCCCGGTCCTCAAGATCTTTCCTCCGCAGAACATTCCGCTTTGTTGCGAGAGCGACACAGTTGTGGACGGCTGTATGTGCCATGCTCATTATGATGATACTGGCCGAAAATTTCTCACCTGCATGAACGATTTTAGATGGCCTCGTTGGCCTGAACTGCACGTCCATTGTTCTCTTTTAGTCTCGATAGTTGTTAGCGACCATTCAGAGCATGGTGTATTCCATTCCGTCCGTGTACGTGTCCAAATATAGCCCGTTGTTCTTGAGTCTGCAGAACATCCGCCCAGGATCAGTCAGATCGGCCTAGATAAGAGCTCAGTGATGTAGTGAGGCAATGCTGGCTATGTGTGCCGTGTTGGAGAAGAGCATTACGCGGGCGCCTGCGATAACTCAGATGACCGGGCTGCACATGGGTTTAGGATGGTCTCACCTGCTTTGAGATCGGGATAGGTTGCTTGGATCATAAATAGTGGCGCCTCCACGTTGGCATCGAATCAGGTGCTGTAGAAATCCTCTTCACCTGCAAAAGAGTAGCATCATCTCGGCTGCCGCGTTTAAGCTGCCCGAATCGACCGACAACCTCTTCAATGAGCTACTGTGAATCTCGGATAGACGAGATGTTCTCCCTAATAGTAACGACCTTCCAAGCGTTAGAGGTGTCGATTGCAGTACTGGTAGTCTGTGTTGCTGACGCGCTGGGAATATATTTGACAATAACGGTAGCGCCGTCCAATGTGAAATGGAGGGTAATGATAGTACCAGTGCTGCGTGATGATCCAGTGGCAAGAGAAACTTTGCTAACTAGTGGAAGGGATGTCAAGGGTATTGCGTGACAACGAAAGTATCCTTGGACATGGCACTGAAGATGCTGTGACACATCCGAGGAAGGAAAATCACAATATTATGATCTTAGCCTTGGTTTGAAGTGAATGCTTCCGATTTTCATGTAACATTCGGAAACAGTTGGTCAGCATGTGAGAGTAGGAAATTTGAAAAGGAGAGAATTGTGCCCGTGGGTGCTTGAAGTTCGACATGTGCAGAAATGCTTTTTCCTGTGACTCTTGTGATGGCCATAATGCATACTTCGTCGGAGTTGCACGTTTAGCACTGAAGGGATACCAAGCTCCTTTGGTTGTGACAACAATCACTTCTGTAATCCCGATTTCCGTGTTACCCGATGGTGCAGTAGCAGTTGAATGGAATCATGGAGAATCATGCAACTGAAAACTGCCTAACAAGTCATTGAAGATTGACGAGGAGTAATGTGAAAACAATCAAGCTTGCATTAGCCATAACAAGGTCACATACGAAGAACGTTGGGACTACCTGACCCTCGGTAGACTCGAGACTCGCTCTTGCCAATAGCCACGTGGACTTTCAGAACGAGTTTGCGTATATTTGGCAACAGCTTCATCATTACTTCCAAATGGGGCGGAGCGATGTCTTCTCGCTCAAATTCCTCCTGGCCCGTGTTCGAGAGGACACAGTCTGCCGTCAGCCAGCCGACGCAACCTCAGAAGAGACGAATCAGACACCCCGTACTGTTACTGCTGCCTCTTGACGCTGTAGACTCTTTCTACCAGGGCCCAGCGTAGCAGCCCCTTGGTCTTTCTAGGGTGCGGGACACCTAGGCACCACTACTCTTGTGCAGGCGAATCCTCATGTGAGAACTGCTGTAGAATCTTATTGGTCGATGTATGAGACACTTAGTGCTCCTGATCTATTCCCCTACAGGTATCAGCAGCAATTTGACCCTGCAGCATGTCTCACACAGGCTCGTCGTCGTTCTGTGCTTCAAACGACGGAGGCATCCAGCTTGCTGGCTGCGTGATTGCTTCCGACTTGATTTCGGAAGTATGGGAAGCATTGTACTGGCAGATTTCCTTCGAGTCAGCTTCACGCTGTGTACACGAACCGTGTCGCGTGTCTCAGCCGTTCGTTCGCCCAGCGACCCGAGCCCAGGCTCTTGCGCGTTGCTAAGTGTGTGATTGCTGTATTTTGGATCGTCAGAGCGCAGACCTTGCTCAAGATGTTTGACTATTGTCCAGTCGCCATTCTCTCATGCGCGGCAATGATTGACGTCTTGCTGATGGCACCACGGTGAAACACGCGGTCTGTGGTGCTGCACCCGCCATTATACGAGCATCCTTGCCCTGGAGCTCAGGCGTGGCCGGACGGCACCAGGTTCGCGTCGTATCGTAGATCGCTTCCGGAGAGCCCTCGATCCGGCGCTCGCGGTGTCTCCCGGCGATCACGGCGCTTCTGCGTTGACTCTCTTCGCGTCCTTCCACGACTGCCCTGGCCTCCACGGGCGCCGCCACCTCCTTCGATACTTGACTGGCTGCTTCTGTTGGGACTTCTGATGTGCTCGGCGCCCAGGCCGAGCCCTGGCCTTCTCTTCTTGGACCCGAACACCGCATGCGCATCGGCACGCCGCCCTCACCGAGAGCAACAGAGTCTCCCTGCACGGACATATGCTTCTGTCACCGGCAAGCACTGAGACAGCTCACCGCTGCATATAACATCCCGCTCAGACCTCGGCCTGCCTGCGCACTCTCGGAAACTCAAGCACGAGACGAACCGAGCAGGAACGCGAGTTGAAGGCTGCCGGCGGGCTCCTCTGCCGCGCATCTCGCGCAGCGTCGCGAGTTTCGACGACAACTGACGTGGATAATTCAGGCACTGCTGAGATGCGTGTGGCTATTCAAACATTCACAAGTCAATAGTGCGGTTCATAGCAGATTGTGCCCATCCCCGGCTACCGAATTCCCGAATAAATCACCCGGTACCCCTCTCATTCTTCTCGTATCCCGTGGATAAGGGAGGCTTCTCCGGGTGAAGAGAGGAAGGGCCTCGCATATGCGTGTGCCCCGGAGATGCGAGGGCCATCACGAGTTCTGAGGTGTTTTGCATCCACAGTCGCGCCAGGTCGGTGCGTTGGGCGACTGAATGCGTCAAGATGATCGTGCCATAGCTGTATCCTTCCGGACGCCGGCCATCTCGGTACAGGATCGTATAAATACGTCGGTGCGCTCTCAAATCTTGCCCCAAGCTCATCTATAGCTAGCAAGTCTCTTCGTTCTCTTTGACTCAGACTTCCGCCCGTCGAGTGCACTCGTACGTCGTCTTCGTTCTCTTGCACGTCTCTTCCAATGTGCTCATGAGTCTCTCTGTTAAGTTTTATACTCGACACTTTTCATTTCACGCACCACTCCCTTCCTTCGTGAAATGCATTTCTCGTCGTTCACCACGCTCCTTGCGGTTGCCGCCCTTCTCGGCCCTGCGCTCGCCTCGCCGCTCCGTGTGCGCCAGGACCACGCGATGTCCGCGGATTGCGGCGGCGATCCCTCTTCCTCAAGCAGCCTGGCACCCTCAGCCACGCCCTCCTCGACCTGGTCCTACACCTCGTCGCCCACGGATTCCGTCTCACCGACCGACTCCGTCTCGCCTACGGACTCCGTCTCGCCTACGGACTCCGTCTCGCCTACGGACTCTGTCTCGCCTACGGACTCTGTCTCACCGACTGACTCTGTCTCACCGACTGACTCTGCCTCACAGACCGAGTCCTCGCCCATCTACTCGGCTCCGTCCACGTCCGCGGCGCCCACCGACTCCGCGCCCGGCTCCTCGGCGCCCTCCGCAACCGAATCCGCGTCGGCGACTGGCGTCACACCGTCCGCGGAGCCATCCGGGTCCGCGACTGTGACTGCCGCCCCGACGGACGGCACGCCGAGCTCCGAATCCTCGGCCTCGCCCACGGCTTCCCCGACTGATTCTTCCTCTCCTACGGACTCCGCCTCTCCTACGGACTCCACCTCTCCTACAGACTCCGCCTCCCCCACGGACTCTGCCTCCCCCACCTCCTGGTCTGCCACAGACTCTGCGTCTGCGACCGCGACCGCGGCGCCGACGGACAGCACGCCGAGCGGCACCGCGTCCGCCTCTGCGACCGCCGCGTCGCCGAGCAGCACGTCGATGCCCGCGGGCCAGTGCAACGTCTCGAACATCCAATGCTGCAACAGCTCCGGGCCGGCTGACTCGGAGCAGGCGAGGGGCATCCTCGGGCTGTTGGGCTTCGTGCTCGAAGATGTCGTCGGCCTGAGCGGCACGGTGGGGTACGGGTGCTCGGGTCAGACTACCTGGTGGGTGCCCCGTTTATGGCTTGGGCTGGGCTGATGTCGTCTGCGTAGCTCGGCGACGCCGATGTGCTGCGAGAATAACAGTTTCAGTGAGTCGCTGGGTACCTGATGTGCGTGCGTGCGTGTTCTGACGTGGGACGTTCTGTAGACGGCCTTATCAACCTGGGCTGTATTGAAATTATCCTATAAGCTGTGTCGTCCCGCGCGCTCGCGCTCCTCCAGTGTTGTAAGTCCCCCGCTCTTTCGATTAGCCGCGCATGCTCAATTCAAGGTAGTCTCCACCAGGGACTTTCGACGGGAAAGTAACACGTAGCATCCGTCCGCGATCCGGTGACACCATCTTGATCCTTCCGCTGTCGTTCCTGTCGCTTGTTCGTCACCCACTCCCGTTATTTAATCGCTCGTTTAATTCGTGAGTTTCGTTTTTGGTCGGGGGTGGGGGAAGCTTTGTTTGGCTATGGGCATGTTCGTCACGGAGTAGCTAGCAATGGTTGTGCCGCGATCCAGGATCGTATTGTACAAAAGGTTTTTAGGCCGCGCTGCCGAGGCAGAGAGCAGCCCACTCTTTCGATTTTTCCACGTAGGATCTCTGAATTTTATGATCCAGGAATGAGAATTTATCGTTCGTCACCAGGTGAAATGGTCCGTGCCGAATTCAGCACTTCCAGCTGTCTTTGTATGAACTCAGCCGTGGTAGCCTAATGGGGCGGATCCACTCTGGTCAGTGGTTATGGTATCATGCATCTGAGTTTCCAACCCCAAAGTCCCTCTTCTCAAATGTGGCCTGATTTTAAGAGGTGAGACCGATCGACAGGAGAAACAGAAGAAAAAACGAAACAAGCGAAAAAGCATAATGACAACAGCGAGATTCGAACTCGCGCCCTTTCGGACTGGATTGTACGGGACGATATTTTGAATACAACCTGATTCCAGCGCCTTAGACCACTCGGCCATGTTGCCATACTACGTCATTGCAACGTTGTATTTATTCTTGCCGCACTCTTGTGAAGCCACAACAGCTACAAAAAGTGAATGGAGGAATTTTACTGCTCAGTAGTGCGCCGCTGTCAGTTAGAGGGAGGGGGCATGCATACGAAATGGGGATTGATCGAGGAATGGGTAGCCTGTATGGGAAGAGTAAACGGGTAGACACGTCAACGTTCAAGGTTGTGTCGCATATGCGCGAGAGAACTTCCGTTTGTGCTGGGCATCAGAGTACTATGTCGCGATGAGTAGTAGTAGCACGTATCGGCGGGAGGGCCGGACGTTTTGCCCGCGACAACAGACAATGCAGCGGAGGCTGCAGGGCGGCGACGCGCGAGAACGCAGCGAGACTATCGAGCCCGATGGTAGCTGCCGGGAGGACGTCGCACGGGATTGCCTGTGCCTATCCTCTCGACACTACCTTCGGGGATCTCTAATCTGGCATGCACCCGCCCGCCGACATGCACCTGCACGGGTGGCGTTGCACAAAGATGCATGTGCAGGTCATGGTCCAAGGTGCATCAGCACACCTCTGACCTCTGTTTGCATGCACCACACCCACTCTGGTGTGGCCGAGTCATGGCCCTGGCAGTGGCAGTGTCAGGTGGCCCGAGGAGGGCTGCTGTACCCCAAGGCAGGGGGATCCGCGCCGAGTGACGCATGCAACCGTCTGGCCAGGTACAGCGGGGGAAGCACATTGGCAGGTAAGGAAGAGGACCATCGAGTCTGCATGCTGGGGCGGTGTGGTGGGGCGCCGATAAAGAACAGAAGAGCGGGGGTGCTGATGGAGGAGAAGAAGGGCCCCCACCCCGGACGAGAGCGCACGGGTATGCACGGGCGTCACGCAGGGCGCAAGATGCCGGGCTCGCATAGAGGTAGTCGCCCGAGACCACGCGTTCTCGCCCTGTCCTTCCCTCCAAGTCTGCCAGCGTCGACATGCGACTTGGACACAGCGTTCCCTTCAGTGCTTCCCGCCACGCCAGCCTTGGACTTGCCTCTTTGAAGGATGCACGTAGCTGCGAAGTCTTGTCTAGCCTGAATTATGCACGCACCGGGCTCTGTTGGGGTGTCTGCTTACTGTCGATTACTCGGGAGAAGGCTCGATATCATGTGCGAGACCAGCGGTGGATGCACACTGCGTGGCCATGACTGATGCATGAACGAAGGACGGAATATCCCGACAGCTGCGCGCGCACACTGTTATGACCGTGCTTGCTTATGCAGCCCAAATGAGCCGCGGGCGGCGGGCGAATGCGCAGCTACGCTCGTGGATTGCAGGCCGCACGTAGGTCCAGAGACGCCTCACGAGTAACCTAACGCTGGGGCAGCGCACTCGCTGGTCTCGCAGGGCCGCGTTGGAACCATTCCGCGTCATATTGGCTCTTGCGTCCTCCCAAGCTAGCAACTTCGGCTCCATATACGGAATGCTCAGATAAGCTGCGAAGGACGCGCCTGGGCGCGTGCCGACGTCGCGCGGCTTCTGTTCTTCGGAGCTGGAGAAGCCTAGCGAGAAGCGTCGCAGGCTTCTCATTCAGAGGTCTGACATCACCCCCGCTGTGCTCGATCCCGGAGCGCGCGGCCCAGCCAATTGCGCGCAGTGCTGTGTTTCCGACCTTGCCGCGGTTCCCCACAGTGAAATCAGATGCGCCTTGTGAGCAGGCCGCGCCCGGCGCCGGCGAGGACGCTGCGTCCAATCCCGGCGAGCCTGTGGACTCTATCGCATCGACGGGGACGACGACATGCACGCTAGCTGCGGATCCAGGCCAATCAGCGTGTCGTACCCCGTCGCTGTCTCGCCGCCGCCTCCTGCACGAACATGTCACGTCTCATCGCATCCCACGCCCGGCCGTATATATGCGCCCCCGCTTCTTCCCCAGCACCCCTCCGTGCGTCTCGTCTCGCCGTCCCTCTGTTCTCTGCACTCGCTCTCTTACCCGCTACCCCGCCCGATCCGCCATGGCCGCCCGCACACACGCCCTCCCGCTCCTCGCGCTGCTCCTTGCGCTCGTCCTCGCCGCGCTCGCGCACCCCGCGCCGCCGGCCGTGCGCGCAAAGTTTGAATACCCGCGCCCGTACGCGACGCGCCAGGACAGCCAGTGCAACAGCGGCTCGCTGCAGTGCTGCGACAGCGTGTCCACACCGGGCAACTCGAGCGTCGTGCGCCGCGCCGTGCGCGAGCTCGGCGTGCGCGTCGCGTACAACCAACCCGTCGGTGTCGGCTGCTCGTCCATCGACCCCATCAACGTCGGCGGCGGCACTAGTTGGTGAGTCCGTTTGGTGAGATGGATACACGGGGGGAATGCTCATGCGCCGCGCAGCTCGTCAGACCCCGTGTGCTGTGAGGACAACTCGTTCGGCCTTATTGGCATTGGATGCACGCCGATCTCGATCGGCCTGTGATCCGCCTACCGCCCGTTTGTCTGCGTCCGTTTTTGGCGCACGTATACCCTGGCGCACGGTACATCCTCCAACTCTGGCCTCCTGCTCCAGACAAGTGCTCATCTCGCGTAACAGCTCGCAAGACACATCCTAACCGAGCCTTGGACACGTCCCGGCTCGAGCGACCATCGTTAGATGTTCTTGACACCCTGCCACGGACTCGTATCAGGGCCCGTAATGGACCTACGCGCTATCCCCTCGTACTTCGTAGCACTCTTAATTCGCACTTCGTCTTTGTCGCCATCCGCAGACATGCACGTCCTATGTTATGTACACACTCGTTGAAAATTCCGCTTGTATAAGCTCGTGGCATGTGGCTATGGGCACACGTCAATCACAATTGGGGCGCATGTGAAGACTCGTTGAAACCGGGCTTTCAAAAGAGTGAGCGCGTTAAAAGAGTGAGTGCGGCTCAAGGCAAGCCGCCGCCAAACGACGCATGCCTCCGAGTCCGGGCCGGGATCCGTCCTGCTCCGCGCCACAAACGCATCGAAGGCACGCGCCTTATGGCTTCGCGGATCCCTGATTGGGGTATGCCACTGGTAAAGAGCAAGTTAGAACTTCGCTTGTACGAAATCCAAGCAATGTAATCGTCATAACAATAAGTGCGTGAGTGCAAGGCCGTGAGCGAGTGGATCGTAAAAAGTCATAAGAAGTCGTGAGGTCAGTACTGCGAAGTGAGCAACGAGGGAACGAAAGGGAACAAGACTACAAGTACGAGGTATACAGAGATCCAGCAGGGACGATACATTAGCAGGCGGTCCCAGCATGCAACAAACTGTCCCGTGAGATAGAAGACCGGTGGAACATTTGCAGGACGTTGGAAAACAAAGAACATCAAACAAGGGATGAAGGGATACGACTATCGTGAAACAAAAGGAAGGATAGCACAGCGCACGCCCCGCTACGCATCCGCCGCCCCCTGGTACTTCTTGATCAGTTCCCGCAGCCGAGCCTGCCCGAACGCGAGCTCCGCGCGCGGCGCCTTCACCACGGGGGCCGTCAGCCTCAGGTTCCTCGAACCGGGCGCAGCAGGCTCCTCGTCGATGCGCGGCGGGCGCGCCGACGTGGGCCTCCCACTCGCCTCCAGCGCCCCATTGAGCGCGCGCCCGTTCGCGGCGGGCGCGGCGGATACAGCACGGGGCGCGGAGATTGGCCGCGCGAGCGACGCGGTGCTCGAGAGCACGGGCGTCGCGAGCGAGGAAGAGACGATGGCGGGGACGCTCGCGGCCTTGACGAGCCGTGCGCGCTTGAGCGCGACGGAGGCCGCGCCGGGACTGGGCTTCGTGGCGAGCGGGGGCTTCGGGACCGGGCTGGGCTTCCGCGCGGCCGCGGGCTTCGGAGCGAGCGCGGGCTTCAGCGAACCCACAGGCTTCGCAGAGAACGCGGGAGGCTTGGGCGCAAGTGACGGCGCGGACTTCCGGGTGGGAGAGGCTGTGGCCTTGGGTGTGGACGGGGAGACAGGCTTTGGGGCTGGTGCAGAAAGCTCGGGAGCGGCGGGGACGGGGGCAGCGGCCTTTGACTGCTGCTCAAGCTGCAGCTTGGCCTTGGCAACGGTGGGAGAGGGCTTGGGAGGGACGGAGCCGTTTGCAACGCCCAGCTTTGCACTGGCAGTTATCGTCGATGGCTTCGTCGGGGCCTTTACATTCTCCGTTTCATCCTTGCCTTGCTTCGGCTCTGCACCGACCGCATTAGCCCAGAGCGCAGCAACCGCCATCACCCGTCCACCTCGCCCGCCGCGCGCAGAGCGGACGTCGTATTTCACCTCGGTATCGAGTGGACCCGCCTGTGAGGGAAAGACTGTAAGACGCATCGGCTTGACAGGTAATTCGGGCGCGACATTTTTCGGCGCGGGCGCGAGAGTCGTGGCGCTTGCTATACGCGCCGAAGGGCGCATCTCAGTCGTCGGAGATGCGAGTGATAGTTTCGCAGCGAGTCTAGAAGGCGAAGAGTTTGCGTTGCTCGATCCGCGGGGGGGCTGCAGCTGGGATGCGCGGTAGGTGCCCACCGGGACGAATCCGGAAGAGCGCAAGTTCGGTGGGGCAGAGATATCTACTTCCCGCAGCTCGGACTTCGGCTCGACCTCCAGCGCAGAAATCGGTTGCGTCCTTGATACGTTGTCAACAGGGAGCGGCGGTGTCGATATCGTCGGCGGTGCGAGGGCGGGTTCGACACTCCCAAGCCACTGCGCGACCCGCCCACGTGCCTCCTGGCGGATGCGATGGATCTCCTCGTCCTTCGGAGTACGCTCCCCACTCTTGTGCCCTCTATAGCGCTTCTCTCTGCTCCCACCATCCTTCCCCGTACTCCCATCCTTCAGTAATTCTTCACCAGGACGCTGCGTGTCGCTCACGCGTCTACCAGCGCTCGAGCCAGCTTCAAGAGCGGGAGCAGAGGCGCCCTTCACAGAAGTCGAGCCATCCTTGCTCCCTGGCGCACTTGCGCCACCCCACCTGAGTGTTCTCGCGTCCGGCTCCAGCTCCAGATGGTCCATGTCCGCCGCGGGGAGCGACAAGCTTGATATCGCCGAGTCATTG